TAATCCGAATTTGCCTGACGATGTTGCAGATTGGAGCGACGAACAATCTGAGGCCATGAAAAATACGCTCGCTCGAGTTTTGCCACTTATTCGTTATTTTGAAATTTCGTCAGAGCAATTCAGTAAATTTGTTTTACCTTATCAACAAATCCTCCCAAATCATTTAGCTCATAGTATTATCCGTTATCACCTAGCTCCTAATCAACCTCTTGCGGAAAATATTATGCCAGCACGACGAGGAAATATCGATTCAAAAATAATCTCTTCTAAAAAAGCAGCCCTTATCGCGAGTTGGATTGACCGAAATCGTGAATTACCGGCTTTCGGATGGCGTCCTTATGCTGCATCTGAAAATCCGTATGAATTCAAACTTTTGATGAGAGGCAGTCAAGATGGGTTTACTAGTCAAGTTTTTCACACTCGTTGTCATAACAAAGGAGCAACAGTTACAATAGCCAAAGTTAAAGATACCCATGAAATACTTGGTGGTTACAACCCCTTGAATTGGCTTGGTAATAGTCAGTGGATTTCTACAACAGATAGTTGTATTTTCTCGTTTGTTGATAGAAACGCAGTCGTTAGTCGCGTAAAGAATGGAAATCAGGCCAATGCTATTTATGGCTGTCCCAGTAATGGACCTCGTTTCGGTACCGATCTTTATTTCAATGGGAATTTTAATCAGTCGACTTGCTACGCTCATATCACTTATTATGAACTTGCCTTGAGACCAACTGCAAGCTCAAATAATTTTTCAGCAGATGAGTTTGAAGTCTTTCAAATTATCAAAAAGCAGCAAACAGCTAATTAGTTTTGAATATTCTTTTTCTACATTTTCTTATGTATTTTGTTATATCATCGTATGAAATGATAACAGATTATTCTTAGTTTGTTAATTTTATTTTTTCCAGGTTCACATTTATTTTGTAGATTTGAATAACTGACATTATATATGTAAAAAAACAATAGTGAATTAATTTACCGATTAAACTTTCAACAATCAGAAATTTATGGTTTAATGGAGAATATTTTTTATTAATGAAATTATCTTAAAATCAAAATATTTAATAGCGTTATGGCGTTTTAATAGTTGGGACTGAAAATATGACCTTAAAATTTTAGTGCCCATTACCCTAACCCTATACTCTCAGTAAACGGGGACATACGTAGTGCTATAATTAATGATACTTGACGAAACCTTTCGTCACAAAAATTTTGAAATGTCTGACGAATGATGAACCTGTGACGAATGACGAAGCCTGACGAAACGAATGCGCATATTTGAATGTCAATAATACACGTGTACATGTATTGATTTTCACGAAACCTTTCGCCATGGTCACTTTGGAAATGTAAGTGGCGAATGATGAATCGTCTGACGATTTTGGTAAACTAAACCATGAAAACAATAGGTCAAGTCAGTATTTATCAATTTATCGGTTTATTTTTTGCAGAATTTTTACCGAGGTACATGTATAAGGTGAATAGGGGTATTATGAAGAATATGGGTATTTTGACGAACTGCAGTTATTTGATTATATCATTTGATTCGTCTTGCAGAAACGAATCAAATGATGCAAAAATCACTCGATTTTGATCGATAGATCAAAAGATAAGGATATTATGATGATGGGAGTATTTTGACGAATCGCAGATATTTTGATTATAGCATGCAATCCACCGATCAGAATCAAGCGATTTTTACACCATTTGATTCGTCTTGTTGAAACGAATCAAATGATGTAAAAATCGCTTGATTCTGATCGGTGGATCAAAAGATAGGGGTATTTTAATGCACAACATATATATTTCACGCTTCTCTTTGATCACGTTATTTTTGTTGCTTTAAATTTTTATTTATTTATTAAAAAGTACTTTATTAAATTTTTCACATTACATTTAGTGAGCAAATTATGTTATTATATTTATCACATGTTATTTTAAATTAAAATAATGTCGCAAGTTTATATTAATCAGTGCGAGTCAGTCAATCTGTGCTGCACTCAACAAGCTCAAAAAATATCCCGCTGGTTCCAAACGCCCAAGTGTAAATAGCGTAGCAAAAGATTTTTGACTTTCAGAAGCCACCCTTTGACATGCAATCAAAAATAATGATTCTCTTAATTATCAAGGACCAGCAACCATACTTACTAAATACAAAAAAGAACAGCTTGTTGGCTATTGCATTAATATGCAAAAGCTTGATTTGATTAACAAAGTCTGGAGTCAATCTATTTAATGAAAATGGACCTGATCAAGATTGGTGACATCATTTTATGAAAAATCATCCTGAGTTATTATTTCATGTTCTGCAAAAATTATTTGAAGCTTGTGCACAAAAAACCAATATAACTACATTTTAACAAGCTTAAAAAATTATTGATTATGCAAATTTGGAATATGGATGAAACTGAATTTATTTTTGCATTCATGTTGGCAAAGGTTATTGTGAAAAAATACATGTTAAGTTTATAAAATAGTGCAAGAAAATTTACATGAACATATTTTAGCTGCTCCAACAATTTCAGCTGTTTGTTTATTTATAAGAATGCTTGTGCTGGCTTGTTAGAAGGTGCACCTTCTGAAACTGTAATGAATTTTACAAACTCAGAATATATGCATGAAGAACTTTTTCAATTGTATCTTAATTATTTTATTAATTTAATCTCATTTATTCAACCAATTTTATTAATACTTGATGATTATAAAAGTTATATAAATTATACAAGTATCAATTTCTGTCACAAAAATTGAATTTTTCTTTATATGTTTCTATTTTATATAACACATATATTACAATTATTTAAAATTCCTTTTGCAAAATTAAAAAAGGAATATAACAAAAAATATAAAAATATTACAATGACAATAATGAAAAAATAATAATTAAACATATTTTTACAAAAATTTTTGACTCTGTCTTTATCACAACTTATATACTATCAGCTATTTGTAATACCTACAGAATCATCAGAATATGATTATTTAATTCTGATGCTCTTAGTTCAGATTACTTAAATTTATTATTAATAACTGAAAAATTTAAAAAGATACCTTTATTTAGTTAATTTTCTATATAACTAAGGTTGCTTGCCAAAATCCCTTAGTGACTGTCTAAATTCTGTCGAAATTATAATAAACTATTAGTAAATAAC